AGTCATGTGTCTGGATGGATTCGCTCTCGCTTGTCTATCGCCCTCGCGCGTGCGACTAGCTTCTGTCTGCGTGGGGGAGGGAGGGGAGGGTTTGCGGGACTGGGGTGTGCTGATGGGGCGGGGATTGATCCCTCCTCCCCTTGAGCCTGTTTGACTCTGCGTGCTGATGGGACTGTATTTGTATGAGTATCACGGACACACAGACGAGTGTTACGGTTAATGACAGTTTCACAGTTTTTTGGAGGACACTGTGTTTACGATGCGCGCTAAATAAAGGAGAGAGAAGAAGTCGATGAAGCGACCTTGTGGTGAGCCGAGAGATGCAGCTTCCTCTGGCCCGAAGCGGCCGCTGTTGGTCGAACGTCTGTTTCGGCAGAGCATGGTATTCGTGGAGCTGTTGGGCCTGCTATCGCTTGTGGAGCGTGTCCGTCTGGCCGAGCTATGCCGCACCATCCGCGCGTCAATCTGTGGCTGTATTGAGGTGCTGCAAGACCTGACAAGCAGAGCGCTCCCTCGCATCAGCAACGAGAGGATCACGCAGCACATTGTCGTGGTGCTACCGTCGGCTTCGTTGCCTTTTGATGAGTATCTGGAGGACGAGGGGCGGCTTGGTGAAACACTGAGAACACGGCTGACGCGAAGTGTCAAGGCACTAACGATGGTGCAACCTGACGCTCGCATTTGGTGTTTGACGATAAGGGAGAGGTTGATCGCCCCTCGCCGCATCGACGAGCAGCGATTCGAGCACGTCAAGTCGATTGAGGCCACCTCAACAGACGGCTTCTGTTTCTTCCATCGGCAGCGATGTGTCTTTCCAGCCCTGACGGCCCTTACTGGCTCCCTTATGCCCGATGTCGCCCTATTCGACATCGACACAGAGATTGATTCGGGAGCGTCAGAGCGGTGTGGGGATTATTTGGATCTGCATTTGCTCGATGAGGCCCTGAGTCGCTTGGTGGCCAGCTCCTCGAACCTGACGCACGTCAATATCTGGCCGATACACTCGCCTGTTATGGAGAAGACGATTGCTGCCATCGGGCGTCTTTCTGCAGTCGAGCACGTCGGCCACTTGCTGCTATACGACCCATACGACGACCACGGTCTCGTTCGGGACATCATGCAGTCTATCAGCGGTCGCGCGCCTCTCCCTGCGGGCAGAAAGCGCACCATTCGCATGTGGAGCTGCATCGCCGTCTGTCCATCGCTGCCCGAGTCGTTCCGACAGGACCCTGATGATGGTCCAGAGGTGTTACAGTTGTTGGTGGACGCCGAGGAGGACCAAGGATGGGAGTGTTTGATGGCGGCAAATGCAATATTTACTGTGACAACTTTGCTGCTTTTCAAGGGACGCCCGCCCCTCTGGACGTGCAGCAGCGAGTGGTGTCTTGCGTGCAGCGCCATGCCAGCGCCTCCCAAGTAGTGGATGTTTGTTATTGGTCTGACGGTGGGCGGCCCATAAGCGAGACGTTCCGGCCTCTTTGCTTCGAGTCGGCAACGGAATTGCTTGTCAGACACACGAACACTTCACTTTCTGGTGATGACAAGACGTTTGTGGGCATCCCTGAGTGGATTGGGGAGGAGGGGGCATTAGCTGGCATCTCGCATCTCATCCTTGACCGTGTGGGCATCCGCGGAAGCAGCGGTCCTCCAAGGCCCTTCGCGCGTCGTCCGAACAACCTCTCCCGGCTTCTCCAGCGCCTCACCTGCCTCTCGCTGGTCAAAATGACCTACGTCCTAGGGGAAATGGTCACCGAGTGCCTGTCATACATGCGGGGAGGCGGTATCAACCCTCATCTCAACCCTCGTATCGACCGGCTGGAGATCAGACACAGCAACGACCCCCACGGCGACACCGCCAGAGACGCGTCCTTCTCTTTCGCCCCTGCCCCCCTCCTTCGGCACTATCCGATGGCGAACACCGTGAATGTCGACCTGGAGCCTGAAATGAATTTCATTGAGGACTTTGACATCGTGACGCCGGCCGCACTGGGTTGTATTTACCGACTCCTGCACGTCTGCCGGCCACAGCGGGCAAATGTGAAGGGGATCGTGATGGAGGCGAACGGTTTCGACGAGCCGTGGGACGAAGATTGGGTGAGGACACAGGTCAGCGGTCAGCGGTCGAGGGACATAAAGGAACCACCACAGTGCACACATGTCTGTGTGTGATATTGCCCAGATTGTCCTGATGCATCGGCACCCCAACCACAGCCGACACAACCAGTGCATCGTCACCGACTTGCGTGCCATCCGAAAGCCCCTTTCCTCATCTGCCCGTCCTGATGCCCGTGAACGCCTTGATGACCATCAAGTACAAAAGGGTCTCCGTGGCGAGCCGAGCGAGTATTTCATGATGTTCGACTTGGTCGTGTCGGCTTGTTCTGGTCGTTTGTCGGGCTTTGTTCAGCCGCCCATCACAGCGTAGTTTGAGAAGGCGCGGCCGTAGTAGAAAGGAGGACGGGATGTATCGTTGCATTGTGACAATGGGCACAGACCATGTTATCTCTTTGCAAGTGGCGGACCATCAAGTAGAGTGCCTGTCTCTTTTACGTCTTTCTAGTCATGTATCGTCTCCAGGCGCGACAGACAAGCAATCAGCCGCTTCTCAGTTTTGATAATTCATCCAGCACATGCCTTCGTACCGCCTGATGGCCCACCGACGGGACGGCGCACCTGGTGCCAAATTTCCAGCTCCAGTCAAGCTCGCACCGTGAATTTACCCCTGTACACAACGGCCGAGGAATGAAGAGTCGGACATGATGGCGGCGTTCCCGCTCCTTCTTCTCCTTGCCTGCGGGAGGGCATGGCTGGCACAATGCCGCCCGACGGACGCCGCAAGAAAAATGGGCGATGGGAGGTTGAATGCCACCCAAACGGCCAAGGACGAGGCGGCAGCCGCTAATATGACCCTTTTGGAGATGGCCCCGCATCAAGTACAGCTGGATGGCCGGGTAAGAAGACACGGCAGAGAACGAACGGGCTCGACTTCATGTGTTTCCCTCGATGTTGCTCATCTGACTAGGGCAATGTGAAGATGGCCAAGCACCGAATGTTGGACGAGGCAGATGATGTTAGGGCGTCCATGACTGGGCCTATTGAAGCGAACCAGAGCACAGCGGACTCCGAGCCAGCCGCGCTTTCCTCTGCTGCCCAAGCTGCTCAAGAGGAGCTCGCTCAGGCGCTCAATTCTGTCGCCCAGGACGACACCACCACCACCATCACCACCACCAGCGGAGGTGGGGAGGGCTCTCAGCAGATCGTCTTGGACCTAGGCGATGCCGTGCGGAAGCAGGGGTCGGCACCACTACCGCAGCCCGTCAGGAGAGCCGCACCACCACCCGCACCACCACCCGAGAATGAGAGCAGCAAGGAGGTCAAGCTCGACACAGGCGGCCCCGTGTCATGGTGGGCTATCGTGCTGGCCACTGCGCTGGTTCTGGTGCTCTACATGGTGCTCCTGTCGCTACTGATCGGGTATGTGAGTGGGGCGACGTTCGGGTTTGGCAAGGGCCAGCGCAAGAGGCGGATGCGGGAGAAGGAAGACGAGGAGGATGAGTCCGAGCTGGGCGAGAGAATCGCACAGCTGGAGAACGGCGGCCTGCACCCATCCAACATTCATCCCCCCCAATCTTCTCCCCCCCTTCGCCCTGCCCAGCCCCGTGATTCCCTCCCTCCCCCCTCCCCCGAGTCCCTCAGCACCACCGTCCCTGCCTCGTCAGGCGCGCAGCCATCGCCGCAGCTGGAGGGCGCCGGTGTGCCCCTCACGCCCAAGACGCCCAAGTGCCGCAAGGTTTCACTCGCAGAGGTGCAGCACCACGAGAGAGACAAGGGCAAGTCGGGGAAGAGCAAGCTCAGAGACGCGGCGACACAGGACGACGGGACGCCATCGGTCGATTTGTCGAGGTCGGTTGGGCCGAGTGGGGGTGCCAGCAGCAGCACACCAAGGGGTGCACATATCAAAGGGGACACAAGCAGGAGCAGCACGCCACGAGGCGCTCACACCAGGACGCCGAGGCGGAACAAGACCCCCAAAAGCAAGAAGGAGCGAGGTACGTATGAGCGACAAAAAGGGAGAGCATGATTGCGTGGATGGACTACCTTGATTGTCCGTGTGTGTGTGTGTGGGCATCAGGGAGCCGCCGGTGTCACACCCCCTGTTCCCCCGCAGACTCGACCAAGAGTTTTGACTGGACCAAAATCAACTGGGACGCCATGGACCCCGACAGCATCAACGCGACCGCCCCCGAGGACACCACCACCAGCACCAGACCACCCGCCAGTTCCGTCAGCACCACCATTGCCAGCCACACCACCGGCGCCGCCTACAGCCACAGGGGAGGTTTTGCCGGGGCTGGGGTGGGTGTTGGTGTGGGTGCGGGTTTTGGCGGGACGAGAGAGCTGCCCAAGAACTCCATCAAGTTCGCCCCCCTGCCGCCCAGGACACCACCCATTCAACCGCGTGATCCGCCTCAGCTGTCGTGGAACGACCTATTTGACCGTGTGACGGAGAGGCGAGAGTGGCTGGCGCCGCCCCCCATCCCGCCCAGAGTGAGCGAGCCCACACAAAGCATCGTGCCTTACCGGTGCTTCAGACGGGCGGGCGTAATTTAGGGAGGGGGAGGGTGGGTGGGGGTGGGATGGTCGCCTGTGTGCCTGTGTGTATGCGTGTCCATGTGTCTGTGTGGTGTGGTGTGTTATTGGTTTTTCTACATGTATGTATGGCGTGCGCAACAAAGAGGCGCGCCATCCATGCAAATTCATTCATCCATTGATCAGTCCGTCAGTCGTTGGTCAGTCAGCCATGTCGGTCAGTCGTCGGTTTGTTCGACCGGCCCTTCCTGCCTTCTAGTACGGCTCTGCCGCCACCATATACAGCTAGTGCGCATATAATGAGATAATGAGCTGGCGCAGCGAGACCAGTTCCAATTCAACACATTGCATTCATGTACTATGTCATAATTAAGAGAGACACGACACGGCGACGCATGAGAGAGATACGTGCAGTCCGTTGCGTTGCGTTGTATGCCGTGCCGTGCCGTGTATTACTAACTACGCGATCCCTGTCTGTCTGTACATATACACATATACACATATACACATATACGTACACGTATACACATACTCCCATACACATATATATATATATATATACGTATATACGTATACATATGCACATGTGTTGTACATACAAAGCTGCGTACACACACGTGTGTGTTCTCGAGACTGACTTGATCTGATCTGCTCTGCTCTGCTCTGCGAACTCCTGACCGGATGGCTGACTGGCTGACTGGCTTATAATTACTTGCACGCTCGATTGGGGCGTGTGAGATGAGATGAGAGGAGATGAGAGGAGTATTGAGTAGTAAGGCTCACTGATGTATAGTTCTCTTCCCTTGTCTAGTTGCTTCGTACGCCTTCCTTTTGCGTCCTGGCTTCCGTTTGCTGTCTGTCTGTCTGTCTGTCTCTGTCGGTCCTGGATTGATCGAATTTTCTTGCCTAACCTGCCTGCCCCTTGCCTTATCTCTATCTGTCAATCCCACCTAGCGGCCGACTGACTGGCCAGACCTTTGACGCCTCACTCACTCATCCATCCATCCATCCATCCATCGATCGATCCATCCGACAAGTCCACCTGTCACCCCTTAAGCGTTTCCGTTCTCTTCGCCTCTTTGTTTGCTTGCTGCATGCGATGGGTGTCTTTGCGTGTGCATCGTGCGAAGGCGACAGGCAGACAGACAGACAGGCAGACAGGCAGACAAGTGATGATTGATTATCGATGATTGCTCCGACAGATCGATGACAACGACGTACAACCGACCGCACCTTTCCCTGACACTGCCATCCATCATCCATCCATCCATTCATTCATCCATGTCTCCCCTCTTAGGTTAAAGGCTTTCTGTCTGGCTTCGCGCCTTTTTTTTGATCGGTCACTTTTTGTGCACGGTGCGTGGGTGCATTGCATGGGATGGGATGGATGGATGCGGGTGTGTGTGTGTGTGTGTGTGTCTAGAGTACCTTAATTGATGTCACTTCGCAGTAGGTGTGTGAGTGTGTGTCCGCTCCCAGCCACCAACCACCATGGCGCGGGCGAATTCGCTCGTGCCGGTTGGCTGGTGGGTGGCGCTGTCTGCCCATGATGATGCATAACAGACAGACACCAAGTAGGGTATGGCATGGTTGCTGCCGCTTTGGCAACAGCTTGTTGGGACTTTGTCTTACCCGTCAACCAACCCGTTGAACCACCTTCACTGATGAATGAATGCAGGTCTCATCAATGTGTCCCCGGTGTCCACCCCCGCTCCCATCCCCATCCCATGCACAGCCACGCATCTATCGGCCCTCCAGCCAGGCAGAAAATTCGCGCAGACCGTCGAATGAAACAACACATCTGAAGTCCGATTGCCCCACGCTCCCTCCATCGCACCAGCCTCTCAGGATTTCACCACACAGGCACGCAGCCATGAGCAGGTCTACAAGGACAAAAAAGACCATGGATTCAGGGTGCACGTCAAGGTCACAGTGTGATAGGACCAGCCATCCTCCACCAGACCATGACATTATGATGACGCGCAGCACTACAAAAGTAGACTGACATCACACCAATGGTAGGTGCGTGTACACACATGTGCAGCCGACAGACAGACAGACAGACACACGGACAGACACTCAGTCATGTCATGTCGAGAAAATTGTGTGTGTCTTGCTTGGCATGACGTCCCGTCCCGTCCCGTCCCGTCCAACCCCCCACACATGAGTGAATGAACGGGAAAAAGAGAGCCGTCACACACACACACACACACGACACAGGCAGGCAGGAAATGAGGCCGCCCACTTGTGCGTGTGTGCAGAGTGGATGACGCTCGAGAAGCCAGACCAGGCACAGTCCTCCCACGTAGTCTACAAATAAAGACCTACAGATGACATGACGAGAAAAACAGCAGCCAAGTCGCGCCCTTAGCTAGCTAGGTGGATGGGATGAGGCGGGTGGGCAGCGACTCGTACATGTAATCATCCAGGCATACACAGCCAGCCGTCACTCACTTCCTCAGACGAACATGTCAGACAGCCACCAGCAAGCGACATGGCATGGTGGTCGTCTACCACAATGCCATGGAGCTCGCCGGCGGCAATCTCACTTGTCCGTCGAGATGTAGCACTCACTCACACACGATTAGAAAAACACAAACCAGTCCTTGCCCCTCCCCCATCTGTGTGTTCTATGGCTTGTGATGGGTTGGTCACTGGATGGTGATCTGCTTCTTGACGGGCTGGATGGGCTCCTTCTGTGGGCAGGTCACCTTGAGCACGCCATTCTCGTACTGGGCGGTGATGGCGGCCTCGTTGGTGTTGGGCAGACGCAGGCAGCGATGGAACCTGCCCACTTGACGCTCCTAAGACACACAGACACACAGACGGGCAGACAGACAGAGGGAGGTGTGACTTGTAGGTACCGATCGGTAGACACATGTTTTGCCTGTGTGACGTGACGTACCTCGTAGAGCCAACCTTCGCCCTCCTTTTTGTCTTCCTTCTTGCTCTCACCCGAAATGCTCAGCAGACCGTCCTGGAAATCCAACTGAAGAACACACACAACACAACACACGCACACACACACAAGGGTGAGGTGAGAGGCCATGGATGCCCCCCTCCCTCTCTCCCTCGCTCGATCCACATGCCCACGTAAGTACCTTGATGTCTTCCTTGGTCATGCCGGGCAGCTCAGCGGCCACGATGACATTGTTGTTGTCGTCGTGCGATATGTCCATCCGCGGCGCCCAGGTGAGCAGCGACGAGATGCTGCTGGGCGGCCGCTCCTCGCTCACGTGCCGCGCTATCTGCCCGGTGGCGCCCTCCTGCTCGGCTGGCTGGTCGGTGATCATGGCGCCCGCACCGGTGCCAGGGCGGATGCGGCTGACGTCGTTGAAGAGGGAGTCCATCTGGCGCTGCATCTGACGCAGTTCACGGCCCAGCGAACGGAAATCGGCACCTGCAGCCATCAACACACACACAGGGAGGACGAGACACACATGGAGAGCAAACAGGCAGACCAGTCAGGTGCTGGAGGTGCTGCATGATCTGTGTCTCTGTGTTACCGAATGGGTCGTAGCGGAACATCTTGGCAACTCGCGGCGACGACAGGTGCTTCAGCTTCAGCTTGGTGACAAACAGCACACGGCAAATGCCAACAGACGGAGATGACTCGACTATAAGTTATGGATGAGTCGGTGAGTACAGTGGTGTGGCGGGATGCTTGTGGCAGGCAGTGAGGCAGGCAGGCAGTCGGGTTTTGGTCTGTCGTGAAACCTCTGGCTCGCAAAAGCTAAGCTCGCAGATCTCCCAGAGTCGTGCAGAGGCCAAACAAAGGTCCATCCGTGTGAGCATCTAGCCACCAGAGGTGATTCTCACTCACTGGACAAGAATGACCAAGAAGGGTGGCAAGAAGAGGGCCTCATCGCTGGACGAGGATCAGCTGCTGGAGACTGAGAGCGTCGGCAGCTTCCTCAACAGTGCCGTCTTCGACCGCATCGTGGCTGAGGCGGATGCAGCAGGGGCTGACGATGGCGATGATTCCAACGACCAGCTGAATCAGATGGACCTGCACGACGAAGACACACGACCACAGCCACATGCCAGCGGCAACTCGAAGGCCCTCAAGAGGCGAGAGAAGAAGGCCAACCGCGCCGCTGCAAGGCGTGCAAACGAAGCCGCCGATGGGGATGACATTGACAATGAGGCCGAGGAGGAGCGTCAGCACAAGAAGAGTCTGGCTGGCTTGCAGTCGGCTGACCCCGACTTCTATCAGTTTCTGCTCGAGAACGACCCTGAGCTCCTCAACTTCAAAGATGAGGATGAGGGAGAAGGAGAGGGAGAGGGAGAGGGGGAGGGAGTGGCCGACGACGACCAACACGTCGATGACGAGCAGCAAGAAGGAGCAGAGATGGACCACGAGCCCAGGCCGAGCAAGCCCTCCAAGAGCAAACAGCGTGCACCGGCCGACCCCGACCAGCATCCGCATGACGATGACGCAGACCCCCCCTCACAGCCTGATGGCTCATCCCCCAGGAAGCCTCTCACGAGCGAGCGGCTGGCGGCCTTAGTCGAGGCGGCGACCGAGCGCAAGTCGTTCAAGGGCTTCCAGAACCTGCTCGCTGCCTATCGGTCGGTGGTGCGGCTGCTGTCCGGCGAGGTCGACAGTGAGGGGTCGGAACTCCACCCACACGCCGCTGACGAGACCCTCGCACGCGCACTGGAAGACAAGCATGCCAAGAAAGCCAAAGGCAGGGGCGTCGAGCAGGGTGGGGCCGGTGGCAAGAAGACCGCCCCCAAGCCTGAGACCAAGAAGCCCGTCAGGACGGCATACAGCATCGACGACAGCGCCGTCATCGACGAGACCATCCGGCTGGTCCTGGCACATGCGGCAGAGATGTTCGAGTACCATGCCGGGGGCGGCGATGCGGCCACGGGCGAGATCAAGAGGGGCAAAAAGAGATCAGGGAAGTCCTCCGATGGTCCGGGGCTTGGCAATGTGCCGTCACAGCTGCCCCGGTGGAGCCGCGTGGAGCTGCTGGCTCGGACGTTCTGGACGGAGACGGTGACGCTCTGCGAGGCGTGTGGGATGGCCGGCAACACAGAGGCCAACAAGAAGCTGTTTGAGGTGCGTGCGTGTGTGTGTGTGTGTGTGCATGGGTGGCGCATCAACACCACCACACAACACATTAATACTCTCTCTCTCTCTCTCTCTGTGTGTGTGTGTGTGTGTTGGTTGGTTGTGTGTGCAGGAGGTGCTGACTCGTGTGGGCGACCTCCGGCTGCTGGTGTTGGTCAGCCCGTTCGAGCGTCTGTTGAAGCGGCTGCTGAAGGAGACGGTGCGGTGCTGGGCCTTCAACACAGCACACAGGTGCCGACTCGCCGCCTTCATTCTCTGCCGCAACTGGGCCGCACTCGCCTCGCACTTCCAGGAAAACAACAAGGCCAAGGACGCGCGCGCGGCGTTCGGTGCGAAAGACGTTGTGCAGCTGCTGTGCCGGGGGTTCGCCGCTGCTGTTGGGCGAGGGTAAGGAAGAAGACGCGATGCCTGAGATGCCACCCATGTGTGCGTGTGTGTGTGTTTGCTGTTGTGTGTGTGTGGTGTCAGGTACACGTGGCGGAATGTGAGCACCGTTCAGTTCCTGGAGAACTGCATCGTGGAGCTGCTTAGGGCCGACGACGCCCTCGCGCACACCGTCGCGCTGTCCAACGTCAGACAGGTGCGTAAGTATCTGTCTGCGTGCGGGTCGATGACAAACCAAACCAAACCAAACACAAGACGAAGCACACCAACCTTTGTGTGTGTCTACTAGCTTGGGTTCCTGGTGCGGAGTGCGTGTGTGGCGGGATCCCATGCGGGGGAGGGCGGCAAGGAGGTGTCTGACAAGACCAAGAAGCGCAAGCAGCACCTGTGGCAGGAGCGGTCCACCGCCCTCTACAGCTGGGTCTTCCTCTGCCAGTGCCGCCTCTGGGCCACCGCCATCGTCCAGCTGCCCGCACTCAGGCCGCTCGCCATGCCGCTATACACTGTCGTCACGGCGGCTCTCAAGACCAAGACCAGCTCACTGGTCGGTCGGGTCGGCCAGACGGGGAGGGAGGGAGGGAGACGGAGGGAGACACACAGAGGCATTGATTGCATTGGTTGTGTGTCTGTGTGCGCAGGTCTATGCGCCGTATTCGCTTCACTTGGTGGGGATCGTCAATGACCTGGCGTCGGGCCTGGAGGTGGGTGGGAGAGAGGGGAAACGACACACGCCCCACACACAGCGGAACACTGCATCCGTCCGTCGCTCTCACTCCTCCCTCCCTCCCTCCCTGCTTGTGCGCGTCAGCTGTTCTTCCCTGCCGTGACGTTTGTGTTTGACGTCACGCAGTCCCTCCTGCTGCAGCTGGACAAGGCTGTACGCTCCAGGGCACCCACCGCTGCTCCTGCTTCTGGTGCTGGTGGAGGGCCGAGGAAGGTTAGCCCAGGAGTGGGCGCGTCGAAGGGCAGCGACATGGCAGTGGCCCTGAGATTTGCACCCGCACACCTCAAGCTCATTCAGGTGGGCAGTGGGCCGCAACGGGCAGACCAGAATACACACACAAACCTACCACGGACGAGCCGAGAGCTATCAAGATGTGTCGTTGGTTGCGTGGTTGGCCGCAGACGCTGGAGAGCCTCGCTGACGAGATCATCTTTGTGCTGGTGGACCACCTGGGGAGCCTCAGCCGCCACCCGGCCTTCCCAGAGATGAGCGTGGCCGTCACATTCCAGCTCAAGAAATACCTCAAGCAGTCAAAGGCACGCACAGCTCGCACACAGAGAGAGAGAGAGACACACAGACACAGCATCTGTGCTGTGTGTGTCTTGTGTGAATGTGACTTCGTCAGAGTGACAGCTTCCGGCGTCAGCTGAAGGATCTGCTGAGGACGATCGACGAGACGGCCACGCTCATCAAGCAGAAGCGGCTGCAGATGGACCACAAGCAGCTGCACGCCTTCCTCGACCAGAAGAAGGCGACCGTGGCCTACTACGACGGGACGGACCTGCCGCTCTTCCAGAAGAGGTAGGTGCTCACATACCCCCACCCCACCCTCCCATCCGCAATATGTGTGTTGTGTTGTGTTGTGTTGTGTTGTTCAACTTGTTTGTTTGGTCGGGGGGTGCAGGGAGCGGATGTTGTCTGAGCGTCGTGAGGCCTTCAGGCAGAAGATCGCCGCCGATGCACAGGGACGGCAAATCAAACAGGAGGAACAAGGTAGGTAGGTACCGACCCACCCGCTCAGCCACCCAGTCCATGTGTGTGTCCCTCAGATGCCGAGGCCCCCCTGAGCAAGCGTCAGCTCAAGAGGAAGCGGCAGAAGGAGAAGCGGACAGCAGCCGCCGAGGATGAAGAAGAGGCGGCCCCGGGGAGGAAGGCCAGCATCAAGATCGAAGAACAAGACGCCGATGAAGCTCAGGGCGTCAGCAAAGAGGAGGATGGGGAGGAAGGCGACCATGATGAGAGGCCGAAGAAGAAACGCAAGAAGGCGGCTGCGAGGGCACCGGCACCAGCACCTGGTGCGGAGGGTGTGGGTGCCGATTTGGTGGATGGCGACATCGTTGAGGAGTTCCGAATTTCAGATGACGATGACTGAATGAATGAATGAGCGACCCGGGGGATGGGATGGGACGGATACGCGTGTGTGTATGCGGGTCGCGTTCCGGTCAGTTAGCTCAGGGTTGTGCCCCGTGTGTGTGGGCACACACGGCACTGAGCTACCTGACAGCAGCGCACCCGCGGCATATGCAGCTATCGCGGGTGATGCGACGCTTGAAACATTATTGGATGGATGGATGGATGAGGGCTTTTCGTGTGTGGCACTGTAATGCTTGCTTCGTTCGAAGCGCCTTTCTTTCACTTGTACGACGTTGTGTTCGTATTGCAGTCAGACAGTCCACACGCATAGATAGACGGAACTGCCACCAGTCAGCCACACCCATGCCGTGGATGCACCCAGCAGCAGCAGGCAGCGCCACAAGAACGGACACGCGAGACAGTCGGCCGACAGACGCCTTCACATCACGCAAACACACGGAGAGCGATGCGAGTCAGACGATATAACGCCATCACACTGTCTGGTAAAACATCCCTCCCTCCCTCCCTCCCACCGTCACGGTTTCCGTCACACGGGGGCATCCATCCATCCATCCATCCAAGCACTCGACCTGTCCTCGTAGACACAACCGAAGGAGACCGCCCCCAACTCCTTCCCTCCCTCCTTACACTTCCAACCCCTTGCATGCCTGCCTGCCTACCTGCTGGCTGTCCTAGTCTCTGTACAAAGAAGTACTCTGATGCGTGTGTGCAGTGCAGTGCAGCACGGCGCACACGCCTGCCTGTCTGTCTGTCTGTACAAACACGAGGACCCGCAAGCTCGGCTGGCCACGCACCCGACGCACGAGTGCCTGTCGGTGACCGGCGAGAAAAGGGCTCTGTCGGGCTGGGCTGGACTTTGCTGGGCGGGAAGAGAGTGAGGGAGGTCCTGTGGTCGGCTGATCGGTGGATGGGTAGCCGCGGTGGCTGGCTGGCTGGCTGAATGCCTCCGGCAACGTACGTAGGTCCGTGACGGGTTCCGTTGGTCCTGTTGGTCCTGGTCCTGCTGTTCCTGCTGTTGCTGTTGTCTTGTTGTCCTGCACGTCCCCTCAGTCCTTTGCTGTGCTGCGCTGCGCTGTGGTTGGTGTCTTGTTTGTGTTGCTGCGCTCGCTATTGGTTGCTCATCTGGGTGAACTGCTGGGTCTGGAGCATCTGCTGCGAGTACTGCAAGGCGTCGTCCAACTGGCCAAAATCCTGAACCACACACCGAGAGAGACAAAACACACATCAGTCCCTCCATCAAGTTGGGGCCGCTTCGCTTCGCCCCCCCCTTCTGTCTGTATGACGTACCTGTGACATGCCTCCCATGTGCAGCTGCTGTGAGAAATTCTGGGTGAACGGCGCCTGGCTGCCGCTCAGCCCCACACCCACACCCATACCCTGACTCGGGCCCGGCATCCCCATACCACCCATAGCCATACCCATGCCCATCGGAGCAGCACCGCCGCCCACCATCCCGCCCATCCCCGGCACACCCACACCAGGTGGCACACCCATCGCACCACCACCAGCCACCATGGCCATCGGGTCACCCACACCCAAACCGACGGCATTCGGCATCTGTGGCATGCCCCGCATGGCCCGTCGGGAGGTGCCGCCGCCCTGCCGCCCCCCGCGGCCGCCGGGTCGTCCGGCGGCCATTGGGTCTGGGAAGTAGCGGTTGGGGGCCTGCATGTAGGTCTCTGGTGTCATGGTGGGGAGGGGGAGGCCGTAGGCGGGCGCCGGCTGGGGCAGCGCACCGGGCATCACCGGAGGCACACTGACACACACACACACACACACATAGATCAGACAGAGCACACGGGGGGATGGGTGGTGGGTATCTTTGTGTGGTGTGGTGTGCACACCCGAGTGGCTGGAACCCTGGGCCGCCGGGCCGCATGCGATCGTAGTCAGACATCTCACCTGCACACACAGAGATGAGATGGATGGACACAGAGGGAAAGACTGACTGAAGCTCCATTCTCTGCCCCTCAGTACGTGTGTGTGTGTATGGGCCCTTTGCTTACCAGGTCTGAGTGAGCCGACGCGGTCGTCGGCCCAGTATCTTGAAGGGGTGCGTGTGGCCTTGGGGAAGGTCATGGACGAGGGCTTCAGGTTCGACAGCGGACCCTCCACCACAAGCTCATACCGCTTGTAGTGATTCAGCAGGTTGCACCACAGCGTACCTGACACATACACACACACATAGCGGCTTGTTCGCTTCACCATCAGTTGTCAGTCAGCCGATCCTTTGGGCACCCACCCACCTTGGCCCTTGCGCGTTTCCTTAGCGAGGACCTTGGCGTTGCCGCAGATGACCAGCCCGTACCGCGCACGCGTGAGGGCCACGTTCAGACGACGGGGGTCGTTCAGAAACCCAATACCTGACCACACACACAGACAGACAGACAGACAGACACCCACACCACGACCACACCCACAGCCACACTCATACGTCCGCATCTGGTGTGTATGTCTGTGTGT